CCCCCCCCCCCCCCCCCCCCCCCCCCCTAAAAACGCCTAATGTACACTTACCCTAGAAAACCCTTAATCCTGCAAATGCACAACACCCTGAACCCAGATAATCCTTCAATCGTAAACCCATAACCATGAAAAATTCGTAAACCCTAAACCCTAGTTCTGGGCTCATGCTCCTGTTTGTGGTTTCCTTTTAAGCGGTTTCAAAAAACAGAAAAAGCACATATGTTGGTCTCTTGCGTCTCTTTGTCTATTGAGGAGAAATGCATGCATGCGCGATGTTTAACTGCATGCATACTGTAATTGGGAGCGCCTATGGGGCCCCTAACAAGGGCCCCGCTTCAAGCGCTGCTGTCGACATTGAGGGTTTAGGGTTTAGGGTTTGTGTTGCAGCTTATGCATGCATGCTCTCATTACGAGCTCCTATGGGGCCCCTAACATGGGCCCCCCCTCAAGCCGTAGGAGAGACATTCGCAAGACTAGGAGAGTTAATAGTTAATGAGCAGCTTCGCCGTAGGGCAAAAACCCCCATGGATAAGCTTATACAGGTAAACCCTAAACCCTTAACCCTAAACCCTAAAACCTTGTTTAAAAATCCTCTTCGTTTTTTTTTGTTTGTTTTAGGTAATGGAGGAATTAGATAATTCTGTCAATTCTATACTTAGACAAATCTCCTACGACAGATTCGAGGTAAACCCTAAACCCTAAACTACAAACCCTACACTCTAAACCGTAAACCCCAAACCCAAAACGCCAAACGCTAAACCCTAAACCCTGAATTGTTGCAGGAGTTGGTCCACGAGGCACGCGCAGAAGGTCTTTTGCTTACAGAGCAGATAGGAGATCTTTGGCTCCAGGCAACAAAGTAAGTAATTATAAATTAGGGTTTAGGGTTTAGGGTTTTGTTTGTTGTTTCAATGTTATGCGTTTTCCCTTATGGTTTGTGTGTTTTATTTTTTTTGTTGTTTGTTTTTGTTTTGGTCGGTTGTTTCTTTATTTTCTCTATCTTATTGTGTCTTTATTTATTTTAATCATTTTGTTATTTTGTTCCCTTACTATTTACTATCTTCTTTATACATTTAATTTACATGTATACATGTATCTATCCTCCCTATACGAATATAGCCATGTGCATACGTATATTTAAACATACATTAAATACAATAAAATAAATAAATAGATAAGTCTATAAATAAATAAATAAATAAAATACAATTATATTTCTTTATTTATTTTATTTATTGTATTTAATGTATGTTTAAACTGTGTTATATATACAGGGAAATGTTTGGTGATTCGGGTATAATATTTGATTCTTTTGGTCCAATAAAAAGTCTTTGGTCATTAATAATAAATTTTCATAAAATTCCTTTTTCTGTTTATTTATTTTCTCTTGCACATTTGGCAGCATATTTACTTGTTGCTGCACTGCAGCAGCAACCGCAGCAGACACAGCACAAATTACTCACCATTATTATACAACAACATATATTACCATCAGGTGCAGCAGCACAAGCAGCAAAAACAATAATTGCCACTCATAAACAGCAGCAGGTACAGCAGCAGAAGGTGCTGCAGCAACAGAAACAGCAGGTCCAGCAGCAACAGAAACAGTTGCTACAGCAGCAGCAGGTGCTGCTGCTGAAGCAGGTACAGCAGCAGAAGTACACAAAACTCAGAGGAACAGGAGGGGAAGAAGAACAGCTGGCAGCAGCTGCTGCAGCAGCAGCAGATGCTGCTGCTGGTGCTGCTGCAGCAGTAGCTGCTGCTGCTGCAGTGCAGCAAGGCCGAAGAGACCGTGCCGATTCGGCCGCCCTTACGGATGACTCCGATTCCCAGATGGGAGACGACCCTGGACACGATCCTGGAGACGGCCCCACACACGATCCCAGAGACGATCCCCACAAAGATATAAAAAAGCTTGAGGACGAACCTTTTCTCTTTGATAAACTTTTTAATTCCTTAAAACTTAATCCTCATGATGTTGCTCTATGGCAAGAAGCGCTCAAGCACCATCTAGGTAACAGCAGCATCAGCAACAGCAGCAGCAGCAACAGCAGCAGCAGCAACAGTAGTAGCAACAGAAGGACGTTCTTGTTTGTTTTATGCCATTTTATGTTGTGGTTGCTTTCTTCTACTCATTTTGTCCTTTCGTACATTTGTTTTGTCTGTTTGTTTTGTTGCATAATTTATTTATTTGTTCAATTATATATTTATTTATTTACTTATTTATTCGTTTGTCCTCCTTGTTGGGTCTGTCCTATAATGTTTATATTCACTGCAGTACCCTCTAAACCTGCTGCTGCCTTCTGCGTTTGCTCCTGTCCTTTGCTGCTGCTGCTGCTGCTGCTGCTGCAGGGTCACTATTGGATGAGGCAGAGACTTTGTGGCACTTGGTAGCTGTAGAGAGGTTCTCGGGTGTACATACCCCTAAGAAGCAGCAGTCTGCTGCTGCTCCTCCTCCTGCTCCTCCTCCTTCTCCTCGTCCTCGTCCTCCGCCCCCTCCTCCTCCTCCTCCTGCTGTAATGGAGACAAATAGTACTTCTTCTCCTTCGTCAATTGATATTGAAGATGACGACGGGGAAAATAAAAATAAAAATAGAATTGAAGAAATCCAATGAACATTAAATAGCAATATTTCAGGTGTATTGGGACCTGCATGCAAATTTGCTGCTAACGATTTTTTTTCTCCTTTTTAATTATTTTGTTGTACTGTATACACCTTACTTATTGGCACAAATAAAACCCTGACAAAACCACGTGCAGCAACAGCAGCCGCTGCTGCTGCAGTTGTTGCCATTGCTGCTTCTCCTTTTGTTGCTGCTGCTTCTACTGCTGCTACTATTGCTTTTGGTCCTGTTGTTGTTGCTACTGCTACTGCTACTGCTGCTGCTTTTGCTGCTGCTGTTGCTGCTTCTGCAGTGGCGCTACTCTCTCTTATTTCGTGTCCGCAGCATTAAAAAAGAAATTCAGTAAACACTTTTCTTTGGATGCACTGTTGCTGCTGTTGCTGAACAACTTATAAACCCTAATTATGCGGTTTCTCAGCAGCAGCAGCAGCAGCACCAGCAGAAGTAACTTCCACGACTAAGCTATTCATTGCTGCGGATGCCCTCGTGCTGCTGCTGTTGCTGCAGCAAAAAAAGGCGCCTCTTACTGCTGCAGCAGCAGGATGTGCATCTTACTGTAGCAGCAGCGGCAAAATATGCATCTCAATTACTGAGTAATTAGCGCTTGATGCAGCTGCTCTAGAGGAAGTCTGCAGGGCTGCACAACAGCAGCAGCTTGCACCAGCAGCAGCAACAGCAGCAACAGCAGCAGCGACAACGAGGTATTGGTGTTATTGCATTATCTTAAAAGCTCGTAAGGGGTGTTGGTAAACACCAAACCCTAGGTTACAAGACGCCAGCAGCAAAAACCCTACACCCTAAACCTTACACCTTAAACCCTTGGGAAACTGTGGAAATGTCGATTATGCAGCTAAAGGTTTAACCTTAAATAAAAATGGAAACCCTAAACCCCAATCTTTTGACCCATTTGCGATGTTGTCGTCCCACAACTGGTGACAGAAGGGAGATTCAGTGTTTAGTGTTTAGGGTTTAGCGTTTAGGGCTTGTGAACACCTCAGTAAACTATAAGGAAATTTAGGAGATAAAATTAGTAGAGAAGTTTCGCCTTCAATTATAATAGCTTAGACGTACACCTCAGGCAGGAAGACCAGCCCATCCTGGTGTGTCGGAGGCGGGGCCCAAACCCATTACCCAAAACCCTAAACCCTAAACCCTTAACCCTAAATGCTAAACCGTAAACCCTAAACTCGAAATAACGACTCCTCTGCATAATTATATCTTTGTGTTACTTTTTGATAATTTTATTGGGTCGGCGTTGGCTGCTTCCCCGTGGAGCGCAGCATTTCCCGTGCAGTCCCTAGACCCTAAACCCTAGACGCTAAACGCTAAACCCTAGGATGACGGAGGCTCTGGTGAAGGCCGTGCAGAAGGGGGATGAAGATACCGTGAGGAGGCTGCTGACGGAGGGAGCGGACCCCTCGGCATTGAACAAGAAGGGCTGTGAGACAAGAACGAGCAGAGCAGCAGCAGAAGCAGAAGCAGCAAGAGCTGCAGAGGAGCAACGGCAATAGCAGCGGCAGCAGCAACAGCAGCAAGCTGAACATTCACCCAAACAATATACAGCGGGGAGAAACACTCTCGACTAAGGGAGATAAGCCGCATAAAACACACAGGCAGCCCCATATAGCGAAACGATTATAATGCATCATTTTGCTGCTGCTGCTGCTGTTGTTGCTGCCGCTGCTCAGTGTCTGCACTGCATGTTGCTGCTCGGGAAGGAGATTCTTTTGTTTTGACCGCCATCTTGGAGTCTCCTGCTATCTTTATCAACTCCCCAGATGTAATTTGCTGCTCTTGCTGCTGCTGCTATTGCTGCTGCAGCATGAAGAGCTGCTGTTTCTGCTGCAGCAACAACAGCCGCTCGTCCTGCTGCTGGGACTTCTGGTGTTCCTGGTGGTCTTGCTGCAGCTTGTGTCGGTGGGACGGCAAATGCTGCTGCTGCTGCTACTGCTGCTGCAACTGTTTTGCTGCAGCGGGACAATGGCTTCACTGCGCTGTTGCATGCGATCTCCGGATGCCAAGGGGATCCCGCAACAGTTCGACAAAGTAGGCCAGCTCCTGCTGCTGCTGTTGCTGCTGCTGTTGGCGGTGCTGCTGTTGCTGCTGCTTTTTTATTTGTTGTTGCCGTTGCTGCTTGTGGTCGTCGCCGTGTACACCATCTGCGTTTAGCCTGGTGCCGTACGGTAGCTGCTGGGGGAGCAGCAGCTGCTGCTGCTACTGTTGCTGCTGCTGCTTGCATTGTGCTGCTGCTGCTGGTGTTGCGAGACTATCTGAGGTGTATAGAAAGCTGGTCTTGTTGTTGTTGCTGCTGTCTTCAGTTTTGGGTATTAAAGACTGTGACGTCACAGTAACTGACAAAGAAAAAAACAATGTAGGTTTGCTGCTTGCGCTGCTGTTGGTGCAGCAGCAGCTTGCCGTTCTTGGGCTTGTGCTGCTGTGCTCGTGCTGCTGCTGCTGTTGCTGCTGCTGCAGTTGTTGTTGCTGTCGCTGTGCATTTTACTGCTGCTGCTGCTGCTGTGGAAGCAGACGCGGGCGGGTTGTGTATCTGTTGCCTCCCTTTTGTTGCTGTTGCTGCCTGCAGGCCCTCCATTTGGCTGCCAGTGAGCACTCCTGCTTGAGCTGCTGTCGCCACCGCAAAATCTGCTGCTTCTAGCTGCGCTGCATGCATCGTCGCTGCTGTTGCTGTTGTTCCTGCTGCTGCAGCTCTGGGACAGACGGATGTTGTGGCTTTGCTGCTCGGCAGAGGCGTCCCTCGCGAAGCTGTCAATGCATATGGAGGTCCGCTGCTGCTGCTGCTGCTCTTGCTGTTGCTCCGCTCGGTGTTGCTGTTGCTATCGCCACTGTTCGTGTGGCTGCTGCCGTCGTTACTGCAACAGCAGCGACATCTGCTGTTGCTCCCTAGTCGTGCTGTACTGGCTAGTTGCTTCCAACACCAGCTGCTGCTGTTGCCCACTTCCTCATGCTGCTGCTGCTGCTGCTGCTGCTGCTGCTGCGGTGTATACGCAGACACCCCGTTGCATTTAGCTCTAAAGGAGGGGAATGAGGATACCGCGCTGATGCTGCTGCAGCGGGGGGCAGACCCCAATACCAAAGACGCTGGAGGCTCCACACCGCTGTGAGTCCAGCAGCAACAGCAGCAGCAGCAACAACAACAAGAAAACCAGCCCTAGCAGCAAAACCATCCCCACCACTACACCACCAGTAGACCACGACTATAACAACAACAGCAGTAGTAGGAGCAGCAGGAACTATAGTGGTCATTAAAGATGTGTTTGCGTATGTTGCTGCTGTTGCTGCAGCCACCTTGCTATAGGGAATCGTCTTTTAACTGCTGCACTGGCGATTTTAGGCAACAAAAAATTTACGATAAAAGAGTGTGAAGATGCTAATGGCAATACTCCCTTCCATGTTGCTGCTGAGGAGGTCCGTTGCTGCTTCTGCTTCTGCTATTGCTGTTGCTGCTGTTAGTGCTGTTGCTGGTGCTGCGTGTGCTGTTATTGTTGCTGCTGCTGCTGGAGACTGTGCTGCTGCTGCTTTCACTGCTGTTGCTGTTGCTGCAGGGTCTGAATAACATCATAAAGCAACTGGAGGAAGCGGGGTTCTCCTCCCAAACTCCCAACAATGCAGGTGGGCAGCAGCAGGATCAGCAGCAGCAGCCAAGACGCAGCAGCATTTGCTGTTCCTGGTATAACAGGAGCAGCAGCAAACCAATTAGCAGCAAGACGTGCTTCTTGTGTTTAGGCATAACTCCTGCGGCGATCATCGAGCAGAGGAAACAGCAAATGGAGGTCCGACACGCAACTAATTTGCTGTTGTTGTTGCTACTGCTGCCGTTGCTGCTGCTGCTGCAGTTCTAGGTGCTGCTCCTGTTGCTGCTGTTGATGATATTGCGGTGGCTACTTTCTAACGGGGGCCTGTGGGTCTTTGACTGCTTTGCACTGTTCAGGAGGAGGAGCAGAAGAAGCGCGCTGCACTGCAGGTGCATGCGAGCTGCAGCAGCAGCAGCTGCTGTTGTGCACCAGCAGCAGTAACAGCAGCTGTCGATGCTGCTGCTGCTGCTGCCCCCGTAGCAGTCGTAGCAAAAGCCACACTTACAACAGAAGCACCAGGAACAGCAAATGTGCTCGAACGAGTTGTCTGCGTGCAGCAAGACTTTCCTTCTTGCTGCTGCTGCGATTACTGCTGCTGCTTCTGCTCTTCCTGCTGTTGTTGCTGCAGGAAAGGGGCGAAAGGAAGCGACAGCAAGCAGCAGCAGCAATGCAGCAAACAGAAGTAACAGCATTTTGTACTGTTGCTGGTCTTCCTGCAACAGTACACGAAATGTTTTTCAGAAAGAAATTCTTCTATGTTGATGAGGCCTTTCTTACCCTTACTGTAATCTGCTGCTGCTGCTGCTGCTGCTGCTGCTGTTGCTGCTGCTGTTGTTGGTTTTGTTGTTGGTGTCGATGTTGGTGGTGTGGTTCTGCTGTTGGTCCTGGTGCTGGTGTTGCTGGTCCAATTGCTGTTGCTGCTGCAGCTGCCGCTGCTGTGGGCGTGATTGTGCTGTTGCTCCTTTTGCTGTTGGTGTTGCTTCTGTTGCTGTTGGCTTTGCTACTGCCGCCGCTTCTGTTGCTGGTGCTGCTGTTTATATCCATACGTACCCCTTCTGCGGCTGCCTGCTTGGGGGTCGCTATTTACTGCTGTCATTGGCTGCTAATGCAGCAACATCTGCTGCATCATAGCCCGTGCTTGCTGGATCACTGCATCGTTGTTGCTGCTGTTGCTGCTGCTGCAGGAGGGAGAATTGCGCAAGATAGGTCTCAATGCCGCAGAGCGGGTCGCCTTCAGCGAGGTATGTGGTGCATGCATGCATTTGCAACCTAATGCGGGTGCAGCAGCAGCAACAACAACAACAGCACTAGCAACAACAACAAGAGCAGCAAGAGTAGGCACGGTTCGCATGCATGCCTGCTGCTGTAGAAATTGTGCTGCTCTGCAGGCTGTTGAAAAACACAAGCAGGAGGCGATTAGACAGCGTACGTTTTCCTGCTGCTGCTTCTACGGCTGCATTGCTGCTGCTGCTGCTTCCTTGTAGCAGTTGGCTCCGCGTTGCTGCTGCTCTTTTGCTGCAGTTGCTGTTGTCATGCTGCAGCAGGTCGCGCTACAGTCCGTTTGTTTTCCCGTTAATGCTCTAACGGATGACACCATGTGCTGCCTTTTCTGACCGCGTAATTTTGCTGCTGTTGCTGCTGCTCCTTCTCCTGCTGTTGCTTAGAGGAGCTTGAGGCAGAGGAGATAAGGCTTGCTGCAGCAAGCCAGACACGCCGACTTCGGATTGTTGGATGCGGTAAGTGGATGTTGCTGCTGCTGCTATTGCTGCTGCTGCTGTCCCTGCTGCTTTTGCTGCTGTTAGTATTGCTGTGTCTACTGCTGATGGAGTCAATCGTGGTGCTGCTGCCGCTGCTGTTGTCTCGGGTGCAGTGTGCACGACGGAGGGGTGGTATGCAGTTTGTTTTGATGTTGCTGCGGTCGTTGCCTTTGTGCTGTTGCTGCGTTGCAGTCATTGTACTTGTGACCTTCGCGCTGCTGTACATCGGACTGCAGCTCGTCGTGCTGCGACAGCAGCGCTGACGGGGCTCTTTCCTGCTGCTGCTATGACTGCTGTTGCTGCTGCTGCTGATCTGCCGTAGTAGGCAAGCAGGTGCGCCACAGCAGCAGCAACAGCAGCAGCAATAAGACGTACTTAAGGATTTGGTTTATTGTGGTTGCATTGCAGTATCAGGGCACAGCTTGTAGCAAGTGGTGCAGCAGCAGCAGAGTGACCATACTGCGCACTTGTTGCAGCAACCCGTGTGCTGCTGCTTTAATTGCCTTGTGTGTACTGTCTCTCATTTGTTGTCTCCTTTTCTGTGTTTGTCTTCTTTTTCTCTTTTTTATTGTCTCTCCTTCTTGTGTCTCCGTTTTATATTTTAGTGTCTCCCTTTTATTTATTCAATTGAACAAGTGCCTCATCTCTCCTTTTATATATTTTGTCGCTTTATTATTTATTTGCATCTCTGTTTATCTGTGTTTATCCCTTTCTTGTTTTTGTCTCTTCTTCTGTCTCCTTTTTTATATCTGCCTACTTTCTCTGTCTCCTCTTCTGTCTCTCCTCTCCCTATTTTTCTGTGGCCTTAAACCCTAAGCCCTAAACCCTAACTGTATACTAGACTCTAAACCCTAGCACTAGACCCTAAACCCTACGACTAGACCCTAAACCCTAGCCCAGAGCTTCTTGACCCTTTTGCTTGCCCCTTAAAAACAAATGAAGCCCCACCCCTCGGGGTTTAGGGTTTAGGGTTTAAGCTGTAGGAGAGTACTCAGAGTCATCTGCGACGCGTTTATATAACACAGCAGGAGGGGGCCCATCTAGGTAGCCCTCTGGGGACCCCCCTGGGGGCCCCGCTGGTATTTGCTGCGGCAGACCTAAGACTATTGCCTTTGACCATGCCAATGCATAATCCTGGGGGGTTAACCAAGTACTAACTGTAACAAAACGAGGGAGCTTGCTGCTGCTGCTCTCGCTGCTGCTGCTGTTGCTGCTGTCGTTGCTGCTGTCGTCGAGTTTGAGGAGGCGGGAATAAAGATAACCTGTACAAGCCATGAGCAGCAGCAACGAAAGCACACTGCAGCAACTGCTGTCGTTGCTGCAGCACCAGCCGCAGCAACAACAACCAACGAAACAACCTTTAGGGGCCCAGAAGCAGCTGACAGCAACGAAAACAGGCATCACCCTAAAGAAGCAGCAGCAGCAACAGTAGCAGCCACAGCAGCAACAACAAGCACAGCAGCTGCAGCAGCCACAGCAGCAGCTGCTGCTGCAGCACATGTTGTATGCGTTACCTGGTTGTTGTTGGAAGAACCTATGCAGTCCTTTAATCTTTTCGATAGTTACTTCGTCTTCTGTTTTATCTGCATGCATTTTGCTGATGTGTACGTAGTTCTGCTGCGACTGCACCGGGAAAACTTCATAGGCAGTGTCTTTATCTGGACATGCAAAACTAAACCCTATCGCCCCTCCTGTTACTACACAGACACAGCGACCTACAAACCCTAGCCAGTTACCCCGGTTCTGCTCCAGGCGTATCGACATACGAGGAGCCATCTTGCTGCTGCTGCTGATGATGATGCAGCAGCAGATGCTTGTGCTGCAGCAGCAGCAGCTACTGCTGCTGATGGGTGTGGCGGTGGAGGGAGGCCTAAGGGCCTCAAGGGGAGGATCGCATGGGGAAGAGCAGAAACGGAAAACCTCTATTTCGAGGTTTTAGGTTTTGGATAGTCTCAAAATTCGGGTTTGGTGTTTTGGGTTTGAGGTGTCTGTACAGCGGAGCTGCCGGCTCTAGGGCCGAGCAAGGGAAGAAGAAATGACCTTAAAACATCTCAACTATACAAATAAATTCTTCTGCTGCTGCAGCAAGCGCAGCAGCAGCAACAGCAGCAGCTGCTGCTGCGCCGTCTGCTGCAGCTCCGTGGGGCCCCCAAGGGGCCCCCCAAGGCAACCGCAGAATTTTTAGTGTCTTCCGTCCGCTGTTGTGCCTAAACAATGAATCCTTTGGCACTAAACCATAAATTTGAAACTTTGAACATCAAACCGTAGACCCTAAACCCTATATCTCGTTGGGTGAAGGGTTTGTGGGTTTCCAAGGTGGGCTGAGCAGGCCCTCAGCTGCAACGGCAGCAGCAGCAGAAGCAGCAGAACCAGCAGCAGGAACGGCATTACCTGCGCGAACAGTAGTAGGTGCAGCAACAACTCGAAAATCTGGAGGAAGGAGGCGTGGGAAAATGAGCGAGAAGAAGAAGCAGCAACCAGCTGCAGCAGCAGCAAATGGCCTGCCACCAGCCCCACCTGGCTGCCGTTGGATGACAGAAGGACCCGATGGGTCTCTCATAGATCTACAGCAGCAGCATGAGCAGCAGGAGGAGCTGGACGCCCTCTCCTCGGGTGACGAAGGAGCATCAGCAGATGCAGGAGTAGATGCAGCAGCGGATGCAGCAGCAGAGGGAGAAGGTCCTCCTAAGGAGCTCCTGCTGCACCCGCAGCTGCTGGAGAGCCGAAGGCGGTGGCTGCTTGCTGCATGCGAATCAGCAGGAGACACTGTCTGCGCAATGGCGGTCAACAAACAGCAGCAAGAGCAGCAACAACAGCAGCAACAGCAACAGCAGCAAGTGCCACCGTTCCTTGCAGTAGGTGCTTCCGATGATATATGCCGCCTGTATGATCTATCTCAGCTCTCTCCACCACCGGCAGCAGCAGCAGCAGCAGGGGACCCAGCAGCAGCAACAAGGGCTGAAGTTGAAGAGCAACATTTAAATGCATCCGTAACTTTACGAGATGCAGGAGACTCTGTCTCTTGTGTGTCATTTTCTTCTGATGGTTTGTTGCTTGCATGCGGCTCTTTTGACGGCTCTGTTCGTGTATACAGTACCCAAGCAGCAGCAGCAGCAGCAGGAGCAGCACAAGCAGGAGCAGCAGCAGCAGGAAAACGCATGCTGCTGCAGGAGCTGCGGGGCCCTTGTGAAGGTGTCTCCGCACTCGCCTTTCATCCTCGTGGTTATGCTTTGCTTGCTGCAGCAGAAGATCAAACGGCATGGGTATGGCTGCTGCCTCCTTCATGGGGATCAGCAGCAGCAGCAGCAGCAGCAGCAGAAGGAACAGCAGCAGAAGGAGGAGCAGCTGCAGCAGCAGGAGAAGGTACTAAAGGGAAGATAAAACCTGCAGCAACACTGCATGTATTTGCTGCTTCTAGTCCCCTTACTTGCTGCTGCTTCAGCAGCAGCGGCAGCCGCTGCATCGTAGGTGGAGCATCAGGAAGTGTTTCCTTTTTTGCTGCTCGTGATGGGCAGATGGTCTCCGATTATGATCATCCTTCTCGTGATCCCCAGGCAAGAGCAGCTGTCATGCAAAGTCCCCTTCCTATCACCAGCAGCAGCAGCAGCAGCAGCGGGATGGATGTGGATGACGGAGAGGGGGGACAAGGGGCTGTTTGTTTAGCGGTCTATACACCCCAGAGTTGCTGCTATGTGGGGTATGAAGATGGTTATATTTTATGTTTTAATGAGGAGACAGGAAAAATTCTTGTTTCTCTTAAAGCGCATGCTGGTGCTGTTGAATCCCTACTGCCTATACACCCCAATCATTCCATGCATGCAGCAAACTGGGGGCCCCAGGGGGCCCCCACCTCTTTACTGTTATTCTCTGCTGGTCTTGATGGTATTGTGCGTCTATGGAACCTTAGTAAGAAAACCCTTAAGCTCTCGTTTGACTGTACACACACCCCAATACCTCAGAACCCCTCTAGTACAAGTGACAGCAACAGCAGCAGCAGCAGCAGCAGCGGTGACAACAGCAGCAGGAAGGGAGGAGACGGAGAAGGCGTCGTTCGGCTGCTTCTGCACCCACAACTCCCGCTACTGCTCGCTGGTACTTCCTATGGACTCATGCGAGCATTCAACTGCAGCAGCAGCAACAGCAGCAACGTTTGTGTAGATATGTGGACAGCACACCCATCGGCGGTCATGGACCTCCAGCACATCAGCAGCAGCAGCAACAGCAACGGCAGCAGCAGGAACTGGATTGTTGCTTCTGGTGACTCGGATGGCGGTGTGGATGTTTGGGCTTTAGACCCCACAGCTCTTCTTCAGGGCAAACCTTAAACCCTAACCCTATTGGTGGGTACGGGACCCTGTGGACCCCACTAAACTCTAATTCGAGGTTTGTTTAACCCTAGAAAAAGTAACTGAACGTTGCTCTCCCGAAAAGGGTTTTAAAACCCCCTCTTGGGGCCTTCACCACAGGCACACCCCAAAACGTTCCCCCAAACCCAAGAGCCGAACTGCTCAAGGGGTTGCAAACCCTCAGGGAACTTCCCGACCACTCATTCGTATCTGTTTGTATGCAGCAAGCGAGCTAGCTAGCTACCTAGCTAGCTAGCCAGAAAGCTAGCTCACACAATACATAGCTATCTACTGACCAGACAGCTAGTTGCTTCTAGATAACCAGATAAGTAGCTAGCAAGGTAGCTGACTGCTAGCTTGCTAGCTACTTAGCTACTTACTCTGCTAGCTAGCAGAGTAGCTACCTAGCTAGCAAGCAGGGTAGCTAGCTAGCCAACAAGCAGGGTGGCCAGCTGGTTGGGCACTTAGCTAGCTAGCTGAGTATCTACATATCAACCTAGCTAATGGTGGGAGTGGCTAGATGAGTAGTTGGGCATTTGCTTATATAGAAATTGTGCCGAGGGCTTCGGGATCCAAATCCGAGTGGGAGGACAAAAACGCCTCTACGCTTTCCCTACGAGCACCACACAGCAAACAGTAAACCGTAAACCATCGAAGCCCAGACCCTCCCCCGCATAGATATGTTGAAAGGTTTGGGGCTAGGGTTTAGGGGTTTGCTTCTGGGGATACTCACAAATACGCCGGACTCGTCAAGACCGCCTGCGGGCCACCTGCAGCCACTGCGTTAAACAGCAGCAACCTGAACAGCAACGGCAGCAACATCAGCGATGGTGGCAGTAATAGGACAGGTTAAAGCACAAACACTACAGCAGCAACAAAGGTGGCAGCAGCAACTTCAAGCCTTCCAGGCAGGCCTGCAGCACAGGGACTACGGTTTAATGTTTAGGGTTTGGGAGTTGTACCCGCATGGCGGGGCAAGCCGCGGGGTCAGCGGCAGCAGCATCCTCCATGCGAGTTCGAACATAGCACCGAATTCTGCTGCTACTTCATTTTCTGCTGCTTCAAGAGCTTCTGTTGTTGTTGCTGCTGCAGCAGCTGCTGCTGCAGCTGGCGTCCTGCAGCCGAATGCAGCAGCATCGAGAACAGCACACAGATCTGCTGCTCCTCCCTCAGCAACTGCAAGCAGCCGCTCGGCTTCTGCTGCTGTTGTTGTTGCTGCTTCTGTTGCGGCTGCTGCATCTGCTTCCGTTGAACCGTCGTCTTTATGCCCCGCTGCTGCCGTTGCTGCTACTGCCGTTGTTGCCTTCGAGTCACCTGCAACACGCAGCAGGTCCTCCTGCAGCTGCAGCAGCAGCAACCGAACCGTCTCCGGTTCCCGGATACCACTCTAAGAACAGCATCAACAACAACAGCAGCTCAATAAGCATAAGCAGGACACACAACTCCGCCTGCTCCATGCTGGGGGCCGTACCAGCAGCAGATACAGCAGCATGGGGGCCCTTGGCAACAGCAGCAAAGGACGCGTCTGCTGCTGCTGCTGCAGCAGCAAAACCCATGCTCCTTACATGCTTGAGTGCAGAGTAGAAAAACGCCACATCTCGAAGAGGCAGCAGCATAGTGCAGCTGCTGCTGCCGCTGTTGTTTTCGCTGCTGCTGCTGCGAACTGCTGCTGCGCGCTTTAGATACTCTTTGATGCTGCTGAAGAAGCGCCTAGCCATCTCCATGGACACTGCAGCAGCAACAACAACAACTGCAGCAGCAGCAGGTGTGGCAGCAGCAGCAGCGAGGAGGGGAAGGCACCCAGGGCCAGCGGTATCAGTTCCGCAACAACTCCCAAAACAGCACAGCGGCGACAGAAGCAGCAGCAACAGCAGCAGCATACGTTCGTAAGACCCAGCACCAAGAAGTCCCCCGCATATCTGCAGAAGGAGCCGTGGAGGCAGCAGAGCAGGTTGAGCCCAACCCTAAAGCACAACAAACCCAGCCCTAAGCCCCAAACCCTAGACCCCACCAACCCCAAGCAGAGAAGTGAGCCGCTAAAGGACGAGGTGTGAAGAACCCAGCAGCAACAGCAGCAACAGCAGAAACAGCAGCAGCGGAAGGGTGTACCAGTAGGCCGGGGTCCGCATCCCGCAGTGTCTGCTGCACTAGCCACTCCACTGCAGCGGGTTGCTGCTCCTGCTGCTGCAGCAGCAAAGGTTCTGCTGCTGCTGCAAGGTGTTCTGCCAGCTGCCTCTGCAGCGCGAAGGGTTGATGCAGCAGCGTCACGAATGACGGCAGCCAAGGTGTTAAGGAGTGGGCCTCCAACGAGAGCAGCCTGTACAAAACCTAAACCATAAACCCTAAACAATAAACCCTTAGAATTCATGGGGACCCTGAATGGAAGAGGATTCCAACAGTGCCCGTTAACCCTACGCCTCAACCCCTCCACCCTAACCCCTAATCCCCCACCCACAACACTACAACCTGAAAAACCATGCAGCCCCTAAACCCTAAACCCTCACCTGTGAGCAACGGCATTGACTGTCTCTTGACCAAACGATCCTCGCAAAGATTGTCTCCTTGCTGCAGCAGAAGCAACAGCAGCTAGGGAAGCAGGAGCAGCCACAGGGGAGGCCTGTAAAACACCGCAGGCGCCCAAACCCTACGCCCTAAACCCTAAACCCTATATCCTAGTCCCTAAACCCGATGTCCCAGGTTTGCCAATCTACGACAACTCAAGACTATCACAATGCAGACAGAGGCATTCCTTGAAGCAACAGGTGCAGGAGCACCTGCTGATGCACGTGCACATGCTGCTGCAGTTGTTGCTGTTGCTGCTGGTGCTGCAGTACCTGGTGTATGTGCAGCGCCAGAGAAGCAGCGAGCTTGCGGCCTTGAAAGAAAACGCCTGATGGCGTTGGCAGCCAGCGTGTTCGAACAACTCGACGTTGAGAGGCCTCCCAGGCCTCCATGCTGCAAAACACAAGCCCGAAACCCTTAACCCTTAACACTAAAACCAAGGTGTTACTGGAAGCAAGGTGGTGCAGAAAGAAGCCAACTGCTACCGTCAGGTTTTAGAAATTAGGGTTTGGGCTCTAGAGAAAATCAACTCAAAGGCGTCTACAGCCACGAATTGAGACTACAGGGTTTAGCGTTTAGAGTTTACTCGACGGGGTCCATGGTCTGCCAGTTGCGAAGCTTGGGCGGCGGTGGTTTGGGCTGCAGAAGCCCAGCGGTTTGCCATGTGTGGAGCTCTTCCTGCACAAAGCAAGGACTTAAGGTTTAGGGTTTGGGTGTTGCTCATCCGAGCGGCGGGCGCACCTCCCTTCTAGGCCTGGTTTTACCGGTTTTACGAGGGTTTTGGGTAAGGGTTTAAGGCGTTTGGGGTTTAGGGCTTGGGGAATGGGGTTTAGAGTTTACCGCAGTCAAGATCGCAGCCTTCGCTGAGAGGGGAGCGGATTCAATTAGAGACAAAAACCCTTCGCCACCAAAAGGCCAGATGTAAACACACTGCAGCAACAGCAGCAGCAGCATTGGAAGCAGCAGCAGCAGGTTCCACATGATGACGGGGAAAATGGCGCAAAGCTAGGCCGTCAGCAGGCTTGAAAATAACAATAAACCCTCAACCCTCAACGCAGCTCGACTGGTTCGGGTATTATGGTTTAAGTTCACACACTACCCATCGCTGTTAGTCGTTTCATTCTAGCATCTCTAAGTTGTGATTAGGGTTAAGGCTGGGTTTAGGGTTTACTGGATGACTCCTAATCCCGGTACGAGCATTAACCGCAAGAGCTGCTGCCTCCAGCCTCTCCCGAACCTGCAGCAGCAGCTCGCGCAAGGGGCTGTTGTTGTTGCTGCTGCTGCTGTTGCTGCTGCTGCTGCTGTTGCTGCTGCTGTTGCTGCTGCTTTTGCTGCCGCTGTTGCCGCTGCAGTTGTTGCTGGTGCTACTGAAGGCACGGAGTGAGTTCATCGCCATCCAAACAAGGAACGCTTCCTGAATGGTGCAGTCAATGCGCACCTAAATCCCAAACCCTAAACCAAACCCTTTAGACTCTATGGTAGCGCAAAACGTAAAAACCATAAACAATTAGCTCGAAACTCTAGTAATACAACACTTCTATGTCCTTATTAGCCTCAATCCCTAAACCCTTAACCCTGGTGACGATCCCCGGCCAAGACTGAAGCCTAACCACTAGATTGGTAGTTGCTTTATAACAAGCGGGATGCGATAACTATGTTTTAAGGCTTAGGATACACAGATTAGGGTTTTGCTTGCCTCCTCATCGACTGCCAACCGGTTTAGTTGTTCTGCGCAGCGCTTCCAGTCATCCCACTGCACCAGCAACTGCTGCTGCAGCAGCCGCTGCTGCTGCTGCTGCTGCTGCTGCTGCCCTTGCTGCTGCGGTTGCTGCAGCAGCCGCAAGATATCTCCTCGCAGGACCTCTATGTTGGCTGTTAGTTGCAGCAGCAGCGCTACGACTTCGCGGGTCGGCAAGAGCGTTAGCTGCTGCAGCAGCAGATACTGCTGCTGCGGTTGCTGCAGCTGCTGCAGCAGACGCAGCAGCTCAAGTCGCCTTGTTAAGAGGCTTGCTGCTTCATCATCGCTGCTGGATGCTTCGGACTGCCACTGCTGTAGCAGATCGTGCTGCTGTTGCTGCAGCTGCTGCAGCAGTTGCTGCACCGAAACTACGGGAAAGTCCCTTACATATTTTACCCTTGCAAACAAATGGGCGGGAGGCTCCTGTGTGTCATTTGCTGCTGCTGCAACTTCTGCTGCGTTTGCTTCTGCTGTTGCTGTAGGTTCTGCTGCAGCAGCAGAGTGATGAGGATCTGCTGCTACTGCTGTGTGGACGCGGCGCCAGTTGCTGCCTGCATGAACAGGAGCGGCAGCGACTGCTGCTGCTGTTGCTGAGGGGGGAGGCAATGCGAAACAGCAACAAGACCATAGGCTGTTTTGCCTCCCTACTGGACATGCTGCAGCTGCTGCACTTGTTGCCGCAGCGCCGGTAGGAGTTGCTGCTGTTGCTGTAGCAGCGAGGGCACCTCCTCGTCTGCAGCAGGAAGCCGCAACAACAGTTGCAGCAGCAGCGGCCGAAGCAGCAGCAGAGGCCGCTGCATGCGCCAGCAGACCCATTCTCGCTGCAGAAGGTTGGTTAGGGTGTTAAGCATCCACTCCATAACCTAAGCCCTAGCCGATCAACCCTAAGCCTAGAACCCTACAACGCCACAAGGCGTTGAGGGCTTAAAGGTCCCTAACTTCCAAATAATAGAAGTAGTGTTTATATTAAAGATAAACCTACTCACACCCTAAACTCTAAACCCTAATCTCTCGCCTGCCGCATGCGTTCCCGCTAGTTCTGTCGGCTGCAGCCCCCTCCAAGGAAGGCTAAACCCTAAAATCGGCCAGCGAAACCCCTACTAAATGCAACTGCTAAATGCAAACCCCTTACCCATAAACACTGAACATAAAACTTTAAACCATAGACCATGAACGTGAAACCGTAAACCCTATTATGGGACTCTTCTACATGTTTGTCTTCAGCAGGCAGTGGTGAACTGGCAGCTGTTATGCAGTGACCGGCACCCGCTGTCCAACCCAAACCCTAAACCTTGAGCCCTAAGCGCCAAACCCTAAATACTTAACAAGGGAACGGGATTGTCTCGATAATGAAGGGTTTGCAAAGGGTTGCTGCGGCAGCACTCGCTACCGGTTCGCTCAACAGTAGACCTCAAACCTAAACTACAGTCCCTGGACCAAATAGTCAGACCCTAAACAACGAGCCTAAATACTAATCCTTCAACTGTTGACTGGGCAGTGTTAACAGCGACAGCAGCAGCAGCAGCAGGAACACTTTACTGCAGCACCGAGTTGGTGAGTGAGGTGTGTGGGTGTGTGTGTGTGTGGGTCTGTTGAAGCCCCAGCAGCCTTCCTTCTGCTTACGAACAAAGAGAAGCAACAACAACAACAACAGCAGCAACAGCAGAAGCAGAAATTCTACTGTTGGAGAAAACCTTTGTTTTCCTCGGTGGCTCTTTGCACAGAGCAGCAGCAACAGCAGAAGCAACAACAACAAAAGAACCAGCAGCAAAAAGTCCTTATTTGGGGAAGCCGCTTGTCGTTCCCTGGGGGTGCCCCTTCCGATGTCCAAACGCCCACTGAGGCCGAGACACTCAACTGTGAGTGTTTAGGGTTTAGGGTTCAGGATATCGAGCTGAGACTCAAGGATTGTAGAGTGTTTGCAGATAAGCCTCTACAATTTAGAGCATTACTTTTAGTACTTCGAGTTGAGACCGTAGGACTTTGTTCCTGGTGTTTAGGGTTTAGGTTCTAGGGTTTGCGTTCCTCAGGTCTAGCAACAAGTTGGGTTGCTGTTTCATTTGGGCCGCATTTCGGGGCTGCAATACCTGGAGATGGTCGCAGCTGCGTTGTATGGGGCTCCCTGGAGCAGGAAGATGGCGAACCAGGTTTGCTGCTGGTGCTGCTGTTGTTGCTGCTGCTGAGCATCATCAGCAACCGCTCCAACCTGATAGCCCGCGGCTACCAACTCGCACCAGCAACTGCAACACCGCAGGCAGCAGCTGCAACACGATGCTTCCGCTTGTATGCTATCACGACTGGTCTGCTGTTGCTGTTACTGCTTTTGCTGCTGCAGCATTTGTGTCTCCTTTCGTGTTGCCGCTTCCGCAAGGTGCAGCACCAGCAACAGATGTGCAGTGCTCAGCGACAGAAATATTTGTTCTCGACAGAGACGGCAGAATATATGTCATTGACGATGCGCTGTCTCTGCTGCAGCAGCAGCAGCAACAGCATCAACAGCAACAGCAACTGCAGCAGCAGCACCAACAGCTATTTAGGCAATTGAAGGGACTGCCTGTTAAGGGTTTCTTTTCTGGTGATTTTATCGCCAAAATGGCAGTTGGCGCAAATCATGCTGCCTTCATCTCACAACGAGGCAGATTGTGTAGGCCGTACTGCTGCTGCTGCTACTGTTGCTGCTGGTGATGGTGGCGGTGGTGCTGCTGCTGCATTAGTCACTACTAACTATTGCGGTGAAAGGCTCGCTGCAGTGGCTTCTGTTGCTTGTGCTGCCGCTCGTGGCGTGCCGCAAGTGTTGTTGTTTCTGGTGTTGCTGTTGCTGCAGTTTGCTGCGGGGACAATCTCTATGGCCAGTGCGGGTTGAAGCCGTCGGGGTCGAGGAACCACCACGTGGCGATGCATGAGGCAAACCCTAAACCCTAAACACTACACCCTTGCGAGACCTCGATTAGCCGTCATGCAGATTAAGCTGAGATTCTGGCTTCTAAGACCCTAAAACCTCCATCCCCTGTCTAAACCCTAAATCGTAAATCCCTCAGATCCCCAGATGCAAAACATTACTTGCGCCTAGCTCATAGACCAAGGGCTTAGCACTTAGGGTTGAAGGCGTTGGGTTTGATGCATGCGCAGGTGTTCTTACCTGAAAAGGCGAAGGCTGCGGGCGCTGCATGCGGCGATCGGCACACAATTGTGTTGGCGACAGATGGCAGCACCTTTGCGTCAGACCCTTAACCCTAATTCCTAGCTGTCAAACCCTAAACCCCTGCTCTTTTAAACCCTAGACGGCAAATGGCAAATGCCACTATGCCTTAGCGCTTGTTACCTCCCACTTCGTCCTTTCATGGTATCTGAAGCGATGCTGCTGCCCCAGATGACCTGTGGTTTTAGGGTTTACAGTTTAGGGTTTAGGATGTTCGGTTTAGGTTCGGCGACGACTCGAAGATCCAGCTTGCGATTGGAGACACCCGCGCTCCAGGAGGCGCAGACGTAGAGACGACCAAGCAACCAGGAATGGATATGGGTGACGGTCTAGGGTTTAGGGTTGAGGGTTTAGACTGTTGAAGCCGCGTGGAGCAATACTCGATTTTGCCGTACTGCCGTGCAACAGGCAGCTGCCGGTGTGTCGCCTCTATAGTGATTTCTATGTTTTGTCTGTAAAGCCTAGGGTTTAGGGTTTAGTGTTTGGCCTGCAGCGCAAGATAAGGCTCCAGTTCAGCGAGCTGTCACCTACGGCGTCCTAGATCGGCACATTCAGCACGAGCCCATCCCGTCCTTGAAACCCCCTGCGGCGGTATCACCAGAGGGTAAACCCTAAACCCGAATCTGAACTGTACACTCTCAGTGTTAGCCGTAAGCGTACGGACAAATATCCAAACGCTCGATTTGGAAAGGGGGCCTAGCTCCTGGCATTCGAGATTCCAATACACCCAGTGGTTTAGGGTTTATATGTCAGGGTTTAGAGTTTGCGTGCAGCGGCGCTGGGGTTGGCCACGGCTGTGGCAGCGAGCGATTTTTCGTCCATTATTTTGTATCAACGTGGGTAGGTGACCTAAACCCTAAACCCTAGATCCGTGTTTGCAGGAGGTTCTGCGAGGCTGCTCCTGCTGTTTCTTTTTGACCCATCATGCACCGGCCCACCGGCCCATGCCCCCTTCTTGCTGCTGCTGCTGCTGTTGTTGTTGGATTTGCAGTGATGCAGCAACAGGAGCCCCAGTAAATTCCCTCTTGTGCTGCGGCGAGACGACGCGGGGTCAGTGCGGGAGAACGCTACAGCAGCAGCAGCAAACGCTTCTGCCCGTGCAGGTCAGCAGAAACAGGAATAGTAGCAGCAAGCAGTAGCAACAGCAACAGCTGCAATAGAAGCACCAGCATCATCTCCCAAACCACCTTAAAACGCTAGCTTATCAACATCATCAGACCCTAGACCCTAGCTGTGTCTGTGCTGCTGCACTGCTGCAACACTCAGCTGCCGCGGTCTCTGTCTCCTCCTTTCGTTGCTTCATTTGTCTCCGACGTCTCCTGCGGCTCCTCTCACTGTGTTGCTGCCCTAAACCACAAAACCCTTGTTGCTTGGGGGATAAACAGTCAGGGACAAGTCGGCGCGGGACACCGAGGCAAGCAAACCCCAAATCCTAGACGCAAACCCTAAACCGCGAACTCCCCAAACTAGACCGTAAAATCTTGCTTGTATATCCGACCTATTGGATCCCAACACTATAGGCTTGATGACTTCTCAAGGGCTTCTTCTGTGGCGATGGTTTAGTGTCTAGGGTCTAGGGTTCAGTGTCTGCGTTACAGGCATTGTCACGCCAGCCCGCTGCGTGCGGCTGCCATGGGAGGTTAACGTCAGCTCGGAAGAGACAAAAAAGATGGCAAATGCAACAGGCAAAGACACCGACACAAATATACAACAAATGTACATAGCGAAACTCAGCTGCGGCTTCTCCAACTCGGCAGTCATCTTAGACCCTAAACGCTAAATCCCAGGCCTTCTTTTTAAACCTCTTTCTTAAGGGGCCGGTCCTCTACAGGGTTTAGAGTCTAGTGTTTGACGTTTTACATGTAAAGCCTGGTATTTGGGACAAAGGGACGCCGGCCAGTGTAGGATTTAGGATTTAGGACCCTAGGCCATAAATTCACCTTCCTGGTGCATGTGGTGCAGCTGATGCTACTGCTGCTTCGGCTGCTGCTGCTACACGACGGATAGTGGTAGACGACTCATCTCTGTAGTCAGATTCGTTGTCAGACAGGCTCTCGACTCAGAGGTAGACATTAAGTTTCAGGGGGTCTAGGGTCTATAGTTCAGATGCTTCAGGCACGACGTCCTCTGCACCATGGCTTAGTTGAGTAGCAGAACCAACAGCAGGGGCAGCAGAAGCAGAGCAGCATGCAGAATTAGTAATGGCAGCAGCAACATCAACAGCAGCTGCAATAACAGCACCACAGTTTCTCGTGCGGGTTGGAGCATGCGGTCAATCGGGGCGGTTTTACGCCTGCGGTTTTGCGTGTTGCGTTTAGGGGGGTGTAGGGTGTATAATCACTGTAAGTATTTTATACAAACTATAGTATTGAACCCTAATTAAATAAACCCCTACATTAGGGATTACGACGTAGCTTCGTACCGACATCACCCACACGAGTCCCAGACTTGATTATTTAAGGTATGCTACAAAAGGTTGAGATCTGGCGATGTTGTGGACGTTGTTGAGTTGGACAATAGGTAAAACCCTTATTTGTTGCTTATATTGATTGCTGCAGGTGCTGCACTAAGACTCTTCCTGGCGGTCGAGCAGCAGCAGCAGCAGCAGCAGCAGCAGCGACCGCCGCAGCAACAGCAGGGTGGCGAGGGAAACCGTGCGTCTCCAGATGTATAATTCGTCGGTTTAAGATAAATGTTTTAAAATCCTTAATTTTTATTTCAAGCAAACACTTAATAGGGTCCTAATCGTCTGATTGTTCTGTAGCTCTACCCGTTGCTTCCTGAGCTCACTACGATTTGAAGGGTTTACGGTTTAGAGTTCCTTCTTGGCGACTTTTCTAGGATATTTTATATTATTTCACTAATGACAGTGTCTTCGACAAGTCCACAGAGAAGACTCGCCAAACCCTCTTAAATCGTAAACCCTAGTAGTCCGCTCTCCCGTTTGGGGCCCCCTTTGGGGCCGCAGCAACGCGAGTTGTCCTTTCTGTCTTTTTCCCCCCTACATTGACCCTTTATTTTCTCTTTCATTAGAGGCATCTGCAACAGCAGTAGCAGCGGCATTGCCAGCAGCAGCAGCATCTGCCTTTTTGTTGGCAACAGCCTTATTCCTCGGCAGCAGCAGAAGCAGCAGCAGCAGCAACAACAACAACCCCATCCGCAGCAGCAGCTGCTGCAGCAGAAAGATGTCTTCCCCCATTGGCCCTAATGGCAGCTACCTGCCCCCCCTCAAGTCCGCGAGTTCAATGGGCGCAATAGTCTTACCTGTTGAAGAGGAAAACAGCAGACACCGCAATGGGGTTAGATCAGAAGGATATGAAGACGACTTCGTGTCTGTTGGCACTTCTTCCCAGCCGCAGCCGCCTGCGCCAGGAAGCCCTTCCCCGGGAGGATTGCATGCCGTGACCATTGGACCGCCCAATGGTCCGCCGGTGGTCTATGGGGGGGGAGCCTGGGGGAGACAGCAATTCCGTGCAGCGCAGCACCCCACACGGGCGCAGCAGGTGCAGCCGGTGCTTATGTCTCCTGATGGGGTCTCCCAATACGTGGTGGCTGCTGGAGGTGACAGAAGCTTTCGCCCACTAGGACAACAGCAGCAGCCACAGCAGCCGCAGCAGCAACTGCAGCCGCTGCAGCTGGTGCCGGAAAACGGGCGTTTGATGCGCTTCAAGACCTTCAAGAGTTCAGCAGCAAGGAAAATCGATCTACACATCAAACAGGGGATGGGGTCATTCCTGCTGCTATGGATGTCCTCAGCTGTCCTCCTTTTTCTCTTCCTACAAGAGTCAGTCTAGGGTAGAAGGAGAAGGGTTGGTGGGGTTCACAGTTTAGGGTTTAGCCATTAGGGTTTAGGCATTAGGGTTTAGTGTTTGAGGGTTGTGCTCAGGCTGGTGTTTAACTTCACTTCTTTTAATGGCCGCTGCATCGGGCCTGTCTTATACCCGCCATGGACGGATCCTGCGTCTAGCAGAATGGTGCTTGAACCCTACACAATAAACCCTAAACCCTAAACCCGAAATGTCAGAGAGCGGGGGAGATCCTAGCTCCCGAAATATAACTTCGGAGACTAGAAACTAGAAAAAGATGTAGAGTAGAGGGTTTAGGATTTACGGTTGAATAGGCGTGGGTTTAGGCGTTTAAGGTTTGCAGGGGCATAGGGTCTAGGGTTTATTGTGTTTGCTGCAGCCTAGGTTGGTCTCGTTTGGCTACGGTGCATGTGAGACTAACTTGGGGCTCCGCGACACCTATCCAGAGGCAGCAGCATCAGATGAACCAGCAACAGCAGATCCAAATGTGCTGCTGCAAAAGCTATTTCCTCCCAAAAGATGTGCTTGGGGAACGTGTGCGGGAGACAGGGGATGGCCTTCCAATCTCGTCAAGAACGGAGCAAGAGCTGCAAACCCTGCTTCTTCGGATTCCCCCAACTGTAAGCTATAAACCCTAGACCCTAAAAGGGAAACCACAGACTCAGCAAGCCCTAGCTGCAACAGGGTAGCATTGATTTGCAATGTAAGCTCTAGGGTTTAGGAATTTGGGGGGTGAGGTCCTTGCTTCCGAGCGGGTTGCATTTCCTCACTATGGTTTAGGATTTAGGGTTTAGTGTTTCTTTGTGGGGTTTGGGGTGCACAGCTCGCATACTGTCGACCTTGGGCGCCCTTGACACGAACCTTATCCGCAACTATGGCGAAATATACAGGGTCTTTTGGGCCTCCTTTTTGCATGGGGGTTGGGTGCATTTGGCTATAAACATTCTTTGTCAGATGGCGGTTCTCTTCATCCTTGAACCCGTAAGAAAATCCAAAACCCTTCTGCTAATGATCTCTAACTTGCAGCCTGTACTCTCGTACGGACGGTGTATATCGGCTCGGCGGTAGACCGGCCCGTGGTTTAGGGTTCTGAGCTGAGGATTTAACGTTCCGCGCTGAGGCTTTAGGGTCCCGAGCTGAGAGTTTAGGGTTCCAGGCTGAGGCTTTAGAGTTTGCGACGCAGGTGTGGGGTTTTTGGCGGTGTCTGCTGACTTGGATTGTTAGCGCAATGTCAGGAAATCTCCTTAGTGCCGTCTTTGATCCTTGCACGACCACTGTTGGGTCTTCGGGGGCCCTTTACGGCCTCTTGGGAGGTCTAGTGCCATTTGCCGTAGGTGAGGATAAGGGTTTAGGGTTTGTGGTTTGCAAGGTCGGCTCGTTGACGACCGGGTTGGGGGGGTTGGCCTTCAGGATTTAGGGTTTGGGGTTTGTGCAGTCTACCGACCCAAATTCTCGAATCGGGGCAGCGAGGTTAGTGTTTCAAGAGTGCAGTTTACGCGGTAGGGTTTACGGAATAAGGTTTGGGGTTTTGCGTATGTTGTTTCGGCAGAGAACTGGGACTTTTTGCATTATCCATGGTGTGTGCTTGCTATCGTCATTGTTGTCATTGTGAGCTTCTGACTATACGCTAAACCCTAAACCCTTGCTCACCCGAAGTATAATTCCTCCTACGACGAATTTAACAGCCTCTCATCTCCCGAAGGGTTCATGGCCTATGGCATAGGCTTTAGGGTGAATGGTTTGCGCTCAGGCCACTGCTCAGCTGAACAGCATGGGGGGCTTCTCCGCAGTTGACAACTTTGCTCACTTGGGTGGATGTCTTGGCGGTTTACTCTTCGGTTTTGCCACAATATACACCCTGAGACCCATCAGGTGAGGGCTCAGCATGTAGGATTTAGGGTGGAGTTTAGCGTAGGTGTCGAAGTTTAGTATTTCACGGTGTATGCACGGCTGAGGCGATTGTTGGTTAGTCTCAGATTTCACCTTACCGAGGGTTTATGGTTTGATTAGTAGGGCGTAAAGTATAGGGCTTATGCATTCACCATGGGCTAATGGTTTGAGGATTAGGATCTAAACTAGGATTAATTTAGCGGTGGGTGATTCTAGGGCTAGGATTGTCGGGTATAGTCAGGTATAGTCACTGCAGGGTTTGATTTGTGTCTTCCGTGTAGGAGATTCTCTCTGTCTACTTGGTGGGCGCGGGTGCGGCTCTGCTGTTGTCGACGTTGTATATCTCCTTCGAAGAGGAATCTCCTTGAGTCACGCATCAGGAGGCAGGGTAAATAATGCAGACATTGGAGCGTCAGGCCTTTAAACCCCTTACATTGTAATGATCACAATACGCACTACCTGGTTGGGTTTGGGGTTTAGGGTTTAGTGAGGGTTTAGGGTCTAGGGTTTGCGCTGCAGAGGCGAAGACACAGGCGGAGTTGAGGGAACTACGCGCAGGGGGGCCCAGCTTCTTGTGGGGAAGTTTACTTGAGTGGTTTGTGCGTCTGGTGGCTCTTGCCTGTCTGGTCAGTAAACCCTGAAGGAGACCCAATAAAGCCATAACTTAACACCATAAGCAACAAAACGCAAAATGGATATTTGGTGCTTTAGTCGCTTTAGCTCTTGTTCGGTCGTCGTCTCCAAACCTTCCACATTTGAATTGTATGCATAGTGTACATTGCGCCTGTGGGAGATGCAGAAAAATTTGAAAATTTGAAATGCATAATATATATATATATATATATATTATAT